GGAATGGGCCTACGTCACTTCGGGCCCCGCCCACTTCCGGCGGCCGTGGGGGTGGCGCGCGGTGGCCCACGCCGGGGGGAGGGGGGCATTTCACACGCGGTGGGCGCAGAGGCGAAGCTGTACCCCGCGCCCCCCGTCAAGCCTCGGCGTCAGAATTTCCCCCCGGCGCCACCTCAAAGGTCAGGGCTCGCCCACTCCTCCCCGGTGTCGGCGACCTAACCTTTCGGGCTCCGATGGGGAAATTCGCCGTTTTTGCCGGACCCCTTGAGAGGCCCGGCACCCAGCCTTGCGTCGATGTTGAAGAATACTTTTATTTAATGGCCCAAATGGCCCCCTTCTGCCCAATAACTTCGGGTTAACCCCGCACCCCTTTAATGAATAGAAAATGGGTGAAAATGGTAACTTCCCACTGCAGGTAACACTTCCCATTTGCCGTCTGGCAAAAGGAATTTGGGAAATAAGATGAAAACAGGAGTAAGAAATTGGTTGACATTAATCCATAGCGTAAGTCAAAGAAAGGAAGGGACACCTTATAGGGTGAAATCAGCAGGATACTCAGCATTTACTGAGCCCCTGCGATGCGCCGGGTCTGCAGCAGACGCTGGGGATGCAGCAGTGACCACCACCCGAAGGTCCCTCCATGGAGCCCACAGGGTTAGACACACACAGGCATAAAGTAAAAAGACAAGAAAATGCTGGAATAAGTGCTGTGATGAAATAAAGGGATGCATTCATAGGGAATAAGTGTTTTACTTGGATGAGATGCAAGATGTAAGTGACCCGTGAATACAATAACCTGGCAGCCTTGTCTTTGTTATTTATTGTGATCAAGCTAATTACTAGTATAGGTAGCCAGGATCCCAAAGGCCCTGGGTGACTTGCAAATGCTGGGGCCGCAAAAACTTTACGTCTGCCTCCTTGGGGGCTCTGGCTGGGGCTGAGAATCGAATTTACCTGAAAAGATAACAAGAGAAAAGCGTACACAGTTAGTCAATACAAGTTTTACAGCGACCTGAGAGCCTTCACGAGGAAATGACCCAGAGAAGTGGCAAAAACTTGAATGCTTTTATACTGGGTTACATAGAGAGAGGATTGGGGAAAAGTCACTACAATAAAATGGGGAGACTACAGGAGGGTAAGTTATTTTACAAGGTCCCTTTGTACACATTCTGCTAGACTCAACTCCGTCTCTGGGGGTAAAAATGTTTCTATTCCTCCGGGCAGAGGGAGGGCTGTTCTCACAGAAGATGAGAGCTTCATCTTCTGCTTCACCTTTTTTTTTTTTTTTTTTTTTGCACCTGCTGGTTTCCAGATGTCTTTAACTCAACATGATCAATAGGCGAAGGCTGCATGTTTGCAGGCGATGCATCCTAAAGGCCTTCACTGACATTGTCAGCACTGTTTGCCCTTGGAATGTGAGCTCCACAGGGCAGAACAATATCCTATATAACAAGAGGCTAAGAGACCATTACGGTGGAACGACTGGAGCGACCTGTTGCTATGATGGGCACTGAGCAGGGAGGCAGGAGAGTGTTTAGGGGCGATCAGACAGGTATGCAGAGCAGTTAGGGGCAATCAGGCAGGCAGAGTGGTTAGGGGTGATCAGGCAGGCAGGCGGAGTGGTTAGGGGTGATCAGGCAGGCAGGCGGCTAGGGGTGATCAGGCAGGCAGGCAGGCAGGCGATTGGTTAGGAGCCAGTGGTCCCGGATTGTGAGAGGGATGTCCGACTGCTGGTTTAGGCTTGATCCCTGGCAGTCAGACATCGCCCGAGGGGTCCCAGATTGCGAGAGTTCGCAGACCTGGCTGAACTTCGGGCCTCTAGTTTCTTAATATTTCTTGAATGTTGAAGTGCTGCAAGAAACCAATGAGGCTTCTAGGTTGTGCTTCCCATGATGCATAAACACTTGTGTGAAGTGTTCACTTGTTGAATAAAAAATGTGGTTGAATGGGACGGAGTTGTTCTACCTGGAAATAAGAGACTTGACTAGGAGGTGTCTCCATGGCCAGTCCCAGAGCAATGGGTTTTGGTAAGTGGTTTTTTTGACTTTGTAAACGTGGGATGAGAAATGGGTATGAACTACAAAGTTAAGAGAGTGGCATGAGTGTTGCTGAGTAAGTAATGCTGGTAGTCTGCTGTGGGGAGTGTGAAGTTTGGCATCAGAATATCTGAATGTGACTAAAACCCGGCAGGACAGCAGGACCTTACACAGTCATTTCACGCCTCTGGACCTCAACCTTTACGTCTGTGAAATGAAAACTATGATAAAACCTGCCAAGATTCCAACATGTAATGTTTAAAACCAATAACTGAGAAGTAGCAGTATTAATATATTGTCTTAAAATACCGAGATAATTATCTGATGAAATAATTTAAAGCGTGGGAACTATTTGCCTCTGAAGAGCAGGGCCGAGGGATACGAAGGGCTGAGAAGGCTGCTGTTTCCATTATGAGCCTTTTAATGCTGCATCAGCGAGCTCCTGCTGTGTACAAGCAACAACTCTATTTCAGTTAAACCTGAGTTTAGAGCGAGACGCCACGCTCTGCAAACGGGCAATGCACCCATGGACTGCGGCAATACAGCGGGTTACATCCTGCGGGTGCTGTGGGTGGATCGGACTGGCCACTAGGGGCGGGATTTCGTGAGGACACGTGAGTCCACGGGATTCTCGCGGTGATGGAGCTTCCAATTGGAACCCTATTAGGACGCAGACCGGCAGCCCATTCCCTGCGGCTCTTTAAGGTGAGATCGGCCGGCCGGATGTGACGTAACGCGATGCGAGAGGCGTGCGTCTGCGCAGTGATAGGAGGCCCGGCGGCGTGCGTCTGCGCAGTACGGAGCTTAGGGCTCTGATAGGGCGGCGTGCGTGCGTGCTCCCGTGCGTCCCCGCTTGCGTCCCGTTTAGTCCGGTTCCGGTCCTGTGGTCCCGGTACAGAAGTGCTGCGGAACGGGAGGCGGGCTCGTGGCTGCGGGAGGAGAGGCGAGGTGCGGGTCGGGGCCTGGGGCGCTCGGCGCTTGCGCAGGCCGTGGCGCTGCTGGTGGCGAGAGGGCGCCTGGCCCCCCGCCCGGCTGGCCCCCCCCGCGCCGCCGGGGCGGGGCCTCGGGAGGAAGCACCCCCAGACGGGCCCCGGATTTCGCCGCCTGAGCACCGCGCGGCCCTCTAGGATAAGGAGATAGACTTCCCGCTGCCGGCGCGGCAGCAGCGCTGAAACTTCCAAAATTGTGTGCATAGCATCCCCCGTTTGGGAGTCGTTAATCCTGTGTTTGTTGCAATCGTCATACAATAGTCTGTTTTGCACGGACAACAAACCTTCCGGCAAAAGAAGGGGCTAAAACCTATCCTGACCCTGGGAGAGCCGCTGTCAATGAATGATCTAGTCGGGCTGCGTTTAGTGAGGGGATTCCCATTCTTCGCCGTCGTAAAAAACCTGTGTTCAAATATTTAAACTGTTAACCCCCCGCCCCCGCCCCGAATTTTTAGTACAGTTACTGGAACAAAACAAAAAAATCCCCTCCGAAAATTTCATGGGTCAGTTGCTAAAGACTGGATTTAGTGTTTTGCCCAGGCAATGGCGTTCGTCATTTCTGTGTAAAAGAAACGTGCTGCAAAGAGAGAAAACTGCGTGGTGTGAAATGCAAGGCCCATGCCCTGTGTTTCAGAAAACTCCATTTGCAATACATTACTAGAAGTTGGGTTTTTAAAAACATGGTCAGAGAAACGAAATACGAACCTGGGTGAGCAACCGTACTGTGTTTTCATCTCAGAAAACACAGCAGTTGAAATTCTGGGCAAACCAATATTAACCAAAAATGCTTTTCTTCATATTCCGTTGCGTTCGCCTATCAGAACTGTTTCCCCGAGGGGCTCGCGTAGTTACTCTGCCTCAAAATGTTCCGAAACTTTAAAATGGTGGCTCTTCCAGGATCGCGGTAAAAGATTGTTAAATACCTTTCCTTTTATTTTTTAAATCAAGTCTTTAAAAATACAGCGTAAAAATGGCTTCAAAAAGGGCGCTGGTCATCCTGGCCAAAGGAGCAGAGGAGATGGAGACGGTCATCCCCGTGGATGTCATGCGGCGGGCTGGCGTAAGTCCCTCCCCCTTTTAAAATCCTGGTTTGGCGTTTAAAAGTCATTCTGAATAAAACAGTATTCAACTGCGTGACATATTTCCAACATAACAGACTGCAGAGTAATTACCTGTTTATCCAATATCTACACTTATTGCTTGGTAACAGTTTGCCCTGTTTCCGTCAGAGCATTTCTTGAAGAACCAATACTTTAATAAAGAGAGAGAACATTGCAAAGCACTCTGTGAATTTCCCCAGCGCTATTCCCCTTGCGACCCAGAGATAACGTAGCCTTAGACTGTAGTTCTCACCTTGCTTCTCTGTGTTACGTACCTATATATGTCGTCTGTGACCACTGTGAATCCGTAAGTAGCATTTACTCAGTGCTAGGTATCATTCTAAGCCAGTGGTTCTCAACCTTCCTCATGCCGCGACCCTTTCATACAGGTCCTCATGTTGTATCACCAAAACAATATGTAATTATGTCTGTGTTTTCTGATGATCTTAGGTGACCCCTGTGAAAGGGTCGTTCGACCGCCAAAGGGGTTGCGACCCACAGGTTGAGAACCGCTGCTCTAGAGGGTTGTGTCACGGCATCACAACACTGCCGTGTTCTCGCACAGGCCTCCTGGCACAAACGTGTGGAAGGTTTCCCAGGCTGGGTGCCTGAAAGTGAACTTGGGCGGAAGGACCCGCCCCTAGTTGGTGTTCCTAGATTTTGTTAAATGACTCCAAGTTCCAGCGTGTTGGACCCACCAGCCGTGTAGGAAAATCCCCATTTTCCCCGACCCAGCTCTTGGTGTTGTCAACTTGGTAAATCTTTGCAAGATTAAGCGGCATTTCCTCGCTTTCATGGCAACAGTGACTCGCACAGTGGGTTAGTGATAGAATGACCATAGGATTTACCTCCCAAACCAGAACGCCGGCGGGAGAAAGGGCGCTGACCGGACGGCGCTGGGAGCCTCTGGACCAGCCCCCTCCCAGGCAAACAGAACAGACCTCGTTATTCATCGCATTTCGCCGATTTATTAGCTTGAAGCCAGCGTGGTTTTGTTGCCCATTTTCCTGTCAATTATTTTAAAACCCAGGGCAGCTGCGCAGGTGTGACTCCGTTCCAGTGTTAACTCTCACGATGACTTCTTTCTCGTAGATTAAGGTCACTGTTGCGGGTTTGGCCGGAAAGGACCCGGTACAGTGCAGCCGAGATGTTGTCATCTGTCCTGATGCCAGCCTGGACGACGCCAGGAAAGAGGTTCGTTCTCTGTCCTTGATCGGTTTCTTGAGTCCGTCTAAGGCTGCTGTTAGCACAACTTGTTTTAGGAAAGTTACTTTGCTTGAATATTCCCCCCCTACCCCCCATCTGCCCTGTAGGGGGAGGACTTTGCCTTTTTCCATCGTGTAGCTGGCAGTTCCAGGTCCTTCCTGTGCCCAGTAGGTGGCTGGGTGGGCAGGTGGATGGAGGGGACACTTGCAGGGAGCAGTGTCCTGTCTTCCACGGGCAGCCCTGCCTCCTGTTACAACTTTGTCACTTGATAGAAGAGAATCAGCTGCCATGTTCCCATTCACTTCCGAGCCTTTATTCGAAAGCCACTCTACCTTTCCTTGTGCAGGGGAACAGGAGTAGTTGTGTGATTCATGTTGCGTGGACAGCTCATCCCTGGTCAGTGGTTGGCTTAAGGGAGGAGGAGGAGTTCCCCTTCAATCGTGTCACTTTTTCAGTGTCGTTAGAAATGTGGTTCGTAATCTTAGGCGTGACCCACGCTGTGGGGCTCTGTCAGAGCTGAGTTCTCTCCTCAGGAGCGTGCACGCACGTGTGCAGATACTTTTGCACACCCTTTCCTGGCTTCAGGCTTGCCTGGCCCGTGTGCCAGCCAGAGACCCCCTCAGCCCCCCAGCCGCCCAGAGCTGCCCAAGGCTCAGGCAACCAGGGCCACCCAAGGTTACCGGCAGTGGCAGCAGCAGAGGTGTGATGGGGCATTGCCTTCCCCTGATCGCCGGGTTGCCTCCTGCCCCTGAGGGCTCCTGGACTGTGAGAGGGGGCAGGCCTGGCTGAGGAACTCCCCCCCCCACCCCAGTGCATGAATTTTCATGCATCGGGCCTCTAGTTTACATATATATGTTGAAACTTTCTAAGTAGCACCTTACAAGTGAGAGTCGAAATAAATATTCCTTCTCTTTTTTCAGCCTGTTGTGTTTTAGAACAGTTGTTACCTTTTGTGTCCATGTGTGGGCCAGTTCAATATCTAAAAGGAGTAAAAGAGAATCTATACTTCACATATTTTCTTTTTAGTGTTTAATTTTGCTTGGTTTTAAAACAACAATGGGATGTTTATAGTATCTAAAAGTATTCTAAATAACAGATGTTGCTCTAAATATGGACTACGTTGTCATTTTGTAATTTGCTTAATGACTAAATTTTTAAAACTTTTTTTTAACATCTGAAAGCAGTGTTAAAAAAAATTTCCTGTTTGTAATTTTAGCAAATTTGAAATCATTAGATTTCTAGGGTGTTTTGGTGTTTGGGATACTAAAATATTACGTCGTATTTCTCCCCCAAGTTTCATTTCTCATAAGGTTAAAAATATTTTTCTTTGCCTGTTACTTAAAATTTGTTTTTCTTTTGACTACACTTCATTACTGTGTACTACGTTCTTGTGGAAAAAGAACTCTTACAGTATAGACATACAGAAAGTTAAAATGTTAAATGTCTCATTCTCTCCCTCCACCCATCCCACACTGCTCCCCATTAGCAGTTGGAGTATCTCCTTTGTCAGTGAGTGTCTGTATACTCTACACATGTATGTGGGGGTGCATACACACATATATGCAGTTTTTACAAGATGGAGGTCATGCTACACCTGCAGTTCTGCAACATGGATGTCCTTTCATGCACAGATTTTCTGCATGTGTTTCTGGTTACAACATGTCATCATAGAGATACACCTTAATTTATTTAACTTTTCGGTGAACAGTTTTTTGCTGTGACCCATATTTAAAATAGGAAAGTGTTATTGACTGTCGCGTCCATGCACATTTCAAATGAAATGTTTTTTTTTAAACTGTTACAGGGACCTTACGATGTAGTGGTTCTGCCGGGAGGTAATCTGGGCGCACAGAATTTATGTGAGGTAAGGACTGCGTAAAGAAAGTGTTTCCACGTGTGCTGTGTTCTGTTGATTTTGCTGTTACTAAAGTATTTCGGGAAAGGGGCTGTGAATAGAATAGGGACAGGTGAAATGAACAATTCTGTCTTCATGTTAAAAAACCATTTCAGAGGACACGCTACAGAAGTCAGCTGAGCTGGTGGACAGTAGTTTATGGGCACATTTGGTGACCATAGTCCAGATGTTAGAGCACATTTTCCTCCCCTCTAAGCAGCAAAAGAAAAATTTATGTTCTGTTCAGGTTAGGCATCGAAGGATAAGAGCTTAGCTGTCTCCTCACCAATCGGGGAGCCGGGGGAGGGGTGGCAGGGGCTGGGGCTGCAGCCTGAATGAACAGGGCAGGTGAGGAGTCCGCCTGCAGGGAGAGGGGAGGCGCAGCCAGGCTCAGGGAGCAGGCGGAATCAGACAGCGGGCTGTGGGCCTGGTCCTGACTTCGCATCTGGACACCCAGCGCCACACTCACACTCCCTCACGTCCAGTTCTTTTCTCCTTGGAGTACACGGGGGTATGGGGGGGAGAAGAGGGGTCGCTGTGCCCGGGGAAAGCTGTTTGCCTCATCTCCACTTCAAACAGCTTTTTAAAATGTATGTATAAATGTATTTTTTATTGATTTCAGAGAGGAAGGGAGAGGGGGAGAGAGACTGAAACATCAGTGATGAGAGAAAATCATTGGTCGGCTGCTCCTGCACACCCCCTACTGGGGATGAGCCTGCAGCTCAGGCATGCACCCTGATCGGGAATTGAGCCATGACTGGTTCAGAGGTCAGCACTCAACCCCTGAGCACGCCAGCCGGGCAACTCCAACATCTTTAAGAAAAGGATGCCTTTCTCTTACAATAAGTGCTCGATTGGGTTTAGGGAGGAATGTAGAAGCATGATGAATTTGATCATTTTCACATTAATCATCTAGAAATACTGCTTAAAAGTAGTTTCTGGTAGGTTTAAGATCTTGTGGATTAAGCTAAAATCATTACGCTGAAGTTCCTAGCCACTTGCTGGCCGTGGCTTAACGAGAACGCGTGTGTTTGCTCTCGGACAGTCTGCTGCTGTGAAGGAGATCCTGAAGGAGCAGCAGGGCCGCAAGGGCCTCATCGCCGCCATCTGCGCAGGTAAGGGCGGGCCCTCCCTCCGCCAGTGTGTGTCCTACTGGTCCCCGAGCCACGCGACGGGACCGCGCCTCTTCCCCTTCACAGCGTGGGAGCTTCTGGATGGGCGCTCTGGGTTAGGGTGGCGTGGAGGAGGTCATGTCAGAGATGAGCACAGTTGTTCCTTTCTGCCTCCTCGTGCTTTGGTCTGCGCTCCGTGAAACGTCGTGTTTTCTGTTTGGTTGACCTCGGAGGAAGACGAGCCCTCGGGAACTCAGCAAACAGCTTGTTAGGGCAGATCCATCTCCACGCCTGAAGGGCCTCGGCCAGCCCCGTCAGCAGGACCCGCCAGCCACAAACAGCAGCCCTGCCCTGGGCCTGCCCGTGGCTCCGCGGCCTGGGCACTTCCTGCCTGGCCCTGGTGCTGGTGCGATCCAGCACGGAGCTCCCTGCCACCTAGTTCAGAGGAAGGTCATTGTGCTTCATAGATGCCCCACAGCTTAGAAACTTAGAAATATTTTTACTTCAATAACGTTTTTTTAAGAGGGAGAGGAAGGGAGAGAGATAGAGAAAAACATGGATGAGAGAGAAACATTGCGTGGCTGCCTCCTGCATACCCCTGTGGGGATGGAGCCTGACTGAGAATCGAGCCTGACCTCCATCGTGTAATTTTGTCATAGGCGCCTCACTTGTCATAGGTCTTCATTAAATGCTTGTCAAGAGTGAAGTGAGTGAACGAATGGATGGCCTGGACGGAATGGTGCGTGATGTTTTCTTCGTTATGGTGGACTTTTCACAATCGTAGGCCAGTGATCCTCGGGACCCTGTGTTAGAGCCGCGGTGGCCAGCGTTCTTTCAGAGGGTTCGGAAGGGCAGCAGACACTCTGAAGACATCATTTGCCTTTTCCTTCTTGTCCTCGCAGGATGATAGCAGAGTGTGTCGAGTTATTGTTCGGGCTTGCTGTGTGTGCGAGGACTGTGTTGCAGAGTTCCCCAGCTTTAATTTCCAATGGGGCAGTTATTGAGAGAGAGAACCCACATGAACGCTGGCGGGTTCCTAAGGCCTAAGTGTTTGAGAACCGCTGTGTGAGAGACCGACCGGGAGGGCGGGGACCACCCGCAGGCGCTGTTCTCGGCTCCTGCTCACACCAGCTCTGGACCTGCCCTTGGGCACAGGGACTTCCCTGCTGGAGGCCTCCAGGCGGGCAGCCCCGCAGCTGCGCCCGGTTGGGGGGCAGGCGGAGGCCCGCCTAGCTGTGCAAGGACTTGGTCCCGGTGCCCCAGCCTTGTCCTTAGTGCTCTCACCAGAGGAGGAGAGGAGAGCTCGCCGGGGCTGTTCCTGCAGACACTGCGGGAGTGAACCACGTGTCGGTTGTCCTGTGTCGCCGGATCGCAGGGTGATCAGCCACATCTGGTTCGCTGTTTCCACTCGGGCAGGCCTGAGTGCTTAGGCCTAGAGTCATTGAAACGGACATTAAAAAGTGACACGCTCTAACCGAGGGCTTGCGCTGTTCAGGGTCCTGCCCCACCCCTCTGGGCGCTGCAAACACTGAGAAGTGTGACGAGAAATGAGATGCTTTAGTGTTGCAGTTACAAATGGGGAGAAGGAATAGAGCATAGTCCCTAACACTGAGTGAGTGAGACAAATTGGAAGGGAGACTATTGTGAAAAGAAAATAAGAGAGTCGCTCAGGGCGGGGTAAGGGAAAGGAAGCCTGGACCGGACGGAGCCAGCAGTGGTCCATGCCTGCGTCTAGGTACAATCTCGGGGACCCCTGGAGGGGTGGGGGTGGCCCAGGTGTTCTTCCGTAAATCACCACACGGTGGCACTGCAGGCTTCTCGGCTGCCCAAGGGGATTCTGTCTGTTCACCCTGCCTCCTGCTCAGAGCTGGTCTCCGCAGTTTGAAGTCACAGTATGTAGTTAGTGGGTAGTAGTAGCTCATTTTCCAAATGGGATCTGGAAGCCCAGACAGCAGTAATGATGAGCTTACCATGATGAGTAAGGCAGCAGCAGATTTCCACACTCAACTGTCACATCAACGTATTGACACATCACTAGGCAGCAATTGTATCATGTGGAAGGAGCAGCCTGAATTCCTGTGTGATCACACTCCTCACTGCGCGGCCTCTCCTGGGATTGCTTTAACCTACGATAATGTGGGTCATGACTCCTTGTTTTCTTAAAATCTTACAAAATAAGATAAAGGGTCATTCGTGAGTTCATCAAAATAAATGAGTGACAATTATGCAGTTTTTGTAGACTTTTAAAACATGCTGCCATACATAGCTGTCTCACACTGAGGATAAAAGTGAGGTGGAGAGAGACATCAAATACGTTTGAGGCTTTAAAATATATATATATATATTATTTTTTACAGAGAGGAAGGGAGAGGGATAGAGAGTTAGAAACATCGATCAGCTGCCTCCTTCCTGCACACTCCCTACTGGGGATGTGCCCACAACCAAGGTACATACCCTTGACCGGAATCGAACCTGGGACCTTTCAGTCCACAGGCTGACGCTCTGTCCACTGAGCCAAACCGGTCAGGGCTGTTTGAGGCTTTTGATTGCAGAGATGAAGTCGGGACTGGGTCTGAAGCTGACCTGGTGTTGGCAGAAGCTTGTGTAATTCCGTGTTGTTTGTTTGGTCTTCCTTCGGAGCAGCTATGGTCTGAGGAGCTGTTGGTTGGTTATATAACTGCCTTCTGCTCGGATTCATGTTGCAAAGTGAAAGGGCAGTAAGAGTGGGTGCCCGGGTTGCTGAGACTCGAGTGTGTGGACTGTCCTGGGCCTGAGCCACAGGCCCCGCCACTGGAGGTCAGGGTGCGATTCTGAAGCATGTTGTTCTCGGTGTGACGTGAGGGCTTAGGAAGTTTTGTGTGTGTGTGTGTGTGTGTGTGTGTGTGTGTCTTAGAGAAAAAAGGTAGGATAACTCACTTTAAAGAGTTTTTAAGATCATACAGCATGGTTTAAAATCTTTTTGGTTTTAGCCCTTATTTGAGGAACCTGTTACAAAATCTGCTTGGGATTGTCCGTATCAGTGAAGTTGACATATCAGTGAACACATCTTGATGAATTTCATTTTAAGAGGGAAGAGATAGAGCAGCGGTTCTCAACCTGTGGGTCGCGACCCCTTTAGCGGTCAAACGACCCTTTCACAGGGGTCGCCTAAGACCATCCTGCATAGCAGATATTTACATGACGATTCATAACAGTAGCAACATTACAGTTATGGAGTAGCAACGAAAATAATTTTATGTTGGTTCACAACATGAGGAACTGTATTTAAAGGGCCAGTAGGTTGTGAACCACTGATACAGAGGATCGCAAATCGACATTTGTGGTTCTGCTCGTAAGTAGCTGTAATAAGCATTGGTGCCTTCATATCTCAGACTCGCAGACATTTCACAGGAATCTCCTCCGGGGCCGGATGGTGTTCCGTTCATTTTCATCACCTTACTAGAACACCTGGTGTGTTGGGATGGAGAGATGGATGAGTGCAGATTTTTTTAGATCCAAGTGAAAAAATAAAAGTGCTCTGTAAAACAGCAGTGAGGCCCGGACGTCCGGAGAGTACAGCTGCCTTTACTGTGTAACTAAAATTTTCATTTGTCAAGAGGGCGAACTTGCTTTTTCAAACGACAGGGGTCTCCCTACTCTTGTTCCCCCGACATGCGCACTGCCTGTTCCTTGAGGCGGGGCCACAGTCTGTTTACCTTTGTGCTCCGTGGGTGTCAAGGTGAGTCTTTGATGAAGTGGTTTTTGACATTTTTTGAATTTGTGCACTTGCCAGAAGTGCTCAGTAGATGGTTTATTATAAACACTTGAGGCCCAGTGCACAACATTCGTGCACAGGTAGGGTCCTTAGGCCTGGCCGGCAATCAGGGCCTATCTGTGGGGCGATTGGGGGCCCCTGCTGGCACCTGCCTTGGCCAGCCTGGCCTGCCAACTGGCGGGGCGATTGGGAGGCAGCGCTGGCCTGCTCATCAGCTGGCCCTGCCCCCCGCTTCCCTCCCCCCATCGCCCCATTGCTGCCACAGGTCCACCTCCTTCTGCAGGAGGTGATGGGGGGGCGTGGCACCAGCCCGCTTGCCAGCGGGCCCCACCCCCTGCTGTTGCCCACTCGCTGGCTAGCCCCGCAGCCAGTCGCCTCCCTCTGCGTGGCAGCTGGCAGGGTGATCAGGGAGGCCCCTGCTGGGACCTGCCTTGGCTGGCCTGGGGCCTGTGGGCTGGGGGCAGCTCCTGTGTTCAGCATCTGCCCCTAGTGGTCAGTGTGTGTCATAGTGACTGGCCATTCTGCCATTCAGTAGATTTGCTTATTAGGCTTTTATTATATAGGAAGATACTTTACCTCTCGTACTAACAAGTGTATAACTTCAGAATCATCAGTATATTTTAGGTAAGAGCCTCCTGCTTTTGAAGAATATTTTTGCTGCTGCAATTTTTAAGACATGGTTTTTTCAATACACTTAAATCTTTTTTATTAATCTTTTTAGGTCCTACAGCTCTGTTGGCTCATGAAATAGGTTTTGGAAGCAAAGTTACAACACACCCACTGGCTAAAGACAAAATGATGAGTGGGAGTAAGTATATGCTTATATTTGAAGGTACAAACAGACCTCAGAAAGCTGCAGTTCAGCATCATTTCCCACCGGTGTGATCTGTCTGTAGCGGCTGCCTGTGGGCCGAGGGTGCTGTGGCCTCGCTTTCCCTGCAGGTGTTTTCATCAGAGCGATGGTGCTGACGGGGCAGCGGCCTGGGCGGGGGCGCTCCTGCTGGTGACACGCCAGGTCATCTAGTGTTTTTACCAAATACTTTGCCAGTGGCCTGAGGGTGAATCTTAAACCCGGGCAGCAGTTTCAGAAAGTGCCCTTTTGCCCCAGGTCCAGAGTAAAGCGAACGTTGCTCTCCTCTGTCAGCGAGGCCTGGGTGGCAGGCCGCGTCCTGGGGTGACCCGTTTCTTTTGTAATACCCGCTGAACATTTCACCTTTATTCGTTTGTGTTCATGAGAGGAATTTCCTTTTATGGTAAGAAAGCACACAGGACGGGAGGGTGAAGTGAATGCCTGTTCTCCTCTAACTTCTCAGAGTTTCATGTGTGCCTCTAGAATGTTCTCTCCAAATGCTCATCCTTTGTAGTTTAATATTTTTACTCAAATGAGAGCTACTATGTCTGTTGTCCTGCAGCTGGCTTTTTAAGACTAACATCGTCTTACATATTTTTTTGTTATTTATCAAAAATTTCTTTCTCTTGAGTGGCTTCTTATTTGGAGGCTGTAGAAGGAGCATGGCATTGCCTGTCCTCCAGGAGTTACCTGCTCACAGAGGCACACCCATCAGACTTAAAGCACAAGGTGTATCATTAACAGCAACACCGTGTGGCCAGGCCCTGAATGTCCAACCGCATCCTGATCGGTGCTCCGTGGTGCCAGGGGCTGCCTCTCACGGTGCATTCAGAGCAGCAGCCGGGAGTGTCTTTCGTGGACAGGTGGTGTCTCCTCTGCCGTCTGTGCCTGGTGTGCACGTGACGGAGGCAGAGACCCTGAACTTGCAGAGAAAGCAAAGTCACACCTGTGTGGGTCATTGCACGAGAATCAGAAGTTTCCGGTCCAAACCGAATGCGGTTCACCTGGCATTCACCTGGTGGGCAGCTGAGTTTAAAACCCCAGCCAGCAAAACTCAGTGAATAAACAAAACAAAGTAGTATCAAAAGCTGATTTGAAGGGCACTGTGCAACGGATCCATTGTTGTGTAAATGTATGTGTGTTCCCCCACGTCCCGAGTGGTTCAGGGTTCGGGAGCTGGAAGAGGGGCCGCACACAAATGAAAGAGACAAGTAATAATTTGGAAACTGGGGGGCCAGGCGAGAGCCCATCCCCAGAGGATGGACTCCGCTTGTGCTCAGGCCTCACCATCTTTTTGTTCAGTTTGGGATCCACCCATAGCCCTTAGGCAGGCAGGTTCCAGTAACAGGCAGACTGTCTTATCAGTAAGGATGGACATGACTACCTGGTGGGGAAGTTGCTTCCGCTGCCATTGTCTCCACTAAACAGTGGGTGCGCAGCCCTGACCTTTGCCAGGGCTCAAGGGTCACCAGCCTCCGGGCTCCTTGTCCTCACCTCTCCGCCAGGAAGACAATGGGCGGCTTCGCACACCTTGGCACACCTTGTCTCCCCTCTCAGGCTGCTCTGGGCGTATCTTCTGAACTAAAAGGACAGCAGCTAACATACCTTACAGCAAAGCAAGCATTTCTCATTAGATTGCTGTTTTTTAGAATAAATAGGCTTATTTTTGAGAGCACTTTCAGGTTCACAGCAAAATCAAGCAGAAAGTAGAGTTTCCGTGGACTTGCTGCCCCCACAACGCGGTCTCCCTCACCACCAGCTTCCTTTCCTGCACCAGGTGGGACACTCGTCACAGTCGAGGAACTGCCATCCGCACTCTGTCGTCACTGTAGGAATTTCATTTCCTTTGCGGTAATGAGGAGGTTTTAGAGGGTTGAAGAGCCGAGTCGGGCTTCCTGGAGTAGTTAGGATTTACTAGAAAGAAGATGTCCGCACAGCACGTGGCCTGAGGGCGTGTCTGTTGGTGCTGCTTTGGTGGTGCCACCAGAGCATGAGGAGTGGTGGGGGCAGGAGAAGTGAGACAGGAAACTCAGGCCTTCACAGGGCCCGGTCACTGGTATCATCTCGGGAGCCTCGCCGTCCCCAGTGCCCAGCAGGTGGGCGTCACCATCTCTTCCCGATGAGATGGGCTCAAAGAGGCCAGGCCCGAGCTGGGCAGGCATGGGACTAGCGGGTGAGCCCTGGTGTAGGAACAGCGTTTGGGGTCAGAGCGTTCTGAGGCGGGGAGCTGGATTACTTCCTGGGGTCCCCCTGGGCGAGGCCCCCCTGCTGGGCATCACCGGGAACTTACTAGATCAGTGCGAGGTTTTTTATTCACACAAGCAGTCCCATCCGAGGGCGGAGCGGTTCCACTTCTCACTTTTTAAAATGTGTGGCTTGGATTCTTTTCCGTTCTTGCTTGTCCATTATGTTAGAAGTATCCCAGTGCTGGTCACCGGTGAGGAGCCGGTCTCAGCCAGGCGACCACTCCCTGTGGCTGGGCAGGCTCTCGCCTCTCTGAGCGCTTCCTCCTCTTGTCGCCTGCAGGTAACAGTGCCACCTGCCTCAGGGCTCTCGATGGTTCAGCGAGTTCCCGTGTTTAACACGCTTGGAACACTGCCCGCTGCCCCGTGTGGAGGAGGGCGAGCTGGGGCAGGCCCCTCCCCGCCTCTGTCTACTAATAGGGCCCCCTCTGTACTGGGGATTGGCCCCATTGTGTTCCCACACTAGATGTGATCCCCGATCCCTAGTGCGCAGGGGAAACTGGAACTGTTTCAGGCTTTGAGCGACTTGGGGTGCCATGGCGCCGTGTCAGTGGCCTCCCAGGTGCTTTTCTCTGGCGAGGCTTCTGGCTTTGGGGCGTTTGCGTAAAGCAAAGGGAAGGAGGCCTGTGCCAGATGGATCGTGAGGCGTGGGTTTGACAGCACCACGTTGGGCTCAGCAGACTGGCTCTCCCTGGGCGTCCCTTGCTAGTCTGTGGGTGTGCGCTGTTTTCCCCTCGGCGCCACTAGGGGGCGGGAGTGGATAGGGCGGGCCATCGGCTCTTCCCGGTGGAAATTTTGAGAAGCTCCTGGGAACATCTTTAAACATCTTTAACCAGTTAAGGTGTTCGTTATGTTTTACTTGTAAAGAGAGTGTTAAGTGACCCAATTAGGACTGTGCCTCCCACTGCCCAGTCCCGCGGCTCGTCCCTCGGTCCCTCGGCTGTGGGAGGCCCGCTCAGCCGGTTTTCTGGGTTAGCGTGGGAAGTGCATCAGTACCTGAGGCTGGGCTACAGAACCCTCACACCAGAGGGCTCTGACGCTGCAGGAGTGTCACTAGGAGGGTTTTTGATGTACTGTGTTCAGTTATTGCAGTAGGTCTCTAGATTTTAAAATATATATATATAAATTGATTTCAGAGAGGAAGGGAGAGGGAGAGGAAGATAGAAACATCAATGATGAGAGAGAATCATTGTTTGGATGCCTCCTGCACGCCTCCCAATGGGGATCGAGCCCACAACCTGGGCATGTGCCCTGACTGGGAATTGAATTGTGACCTCCTGGTTCATAGGTTGACCCTCAACCACTGAGCCATGCTGGTTGGGCTATTTTTTTGTAATCCTCACCTGAGGATATGTTTTTATTAATTTTTAGAGAGAGCAACATCGATTGGTTGCCTCTTGTATGTGCTGACTGGGGATCGAACCTGTGACCTTTTGGTGTCCGGGTGACGCTCCAACCAGCTGAGCCGTGTTCTGAGGAAATGATGCGAAGCTGCTCCAGGTGGTGTGACCCACGTGGAAGGACAGGAGCCGTGGTGCGTGGCTTCTGAAGCCCGTCGTGGCGACAGCTGCATGCTTCTGCGTTCGGGGTCATTAGGTGGCTTCTGTGCGAGTCATTGGACAGGCTTTTCCTGGGCCGCCTCCTGCTGTGGGCCAGGGCTTGGGGGTGGGGGGCGGGCAGAAGGGTGTGTGCTGGGCCCTCTCCAGCCGCAGAGGCAGGATGCAGCCGGAGCTCAGAGGGGCCCCTCGCAGCACAGCCCTCCCTCCGTCTGTCACTCGTGTCCCCCGTCGCTGCGGGGCACCGCCACCCGCCCAGTTGCCCGGGACAGACAGCCGGCGCCATCTTTGATGCCTCTCTGTCCAGTTCTTCACTAGGTTCTGACGTTTTATCGCTAAGCGAACCTCAGACCTTCATTTCCTCCTTGTGGCCCGCTCCCCACCTGGGCGGCGGGTTCTTTCCTACCACCTCTGGTTCCTCCAGCTCCGTGAGCGGGTTCCGTCCTCAGGTGCTGGCGGGCGCTGGCGAAGGCTCTCGAGGGAGGGAGCTGGCGAGGCTCTGCCTGCCTCGTGGGAAGGTCACCTCTTGGTACTGAGCAGGTGGGGGTGGGGGGAGGCCTGGGGAGGAAGCAGCTGAGGGCGATGGGTGCCCTTGGGAGCCGCTGGGAGGTGTGATGAACAGTGTGACCGCTGTCTGGGTGGTGCCTCTGGCCTCCTCCCCTGGGTAAGAGGCCACCCTCCCGGCTGAGGAGCCCTGGAGGGTTCATGCCCCGAGCTCCTCGGGAGGGTCTGTGTGGAGGCGATGGAGGGGCTGGGGGGTCACAGAACGCCGCCTCCTGCACTGGCTCTGCTTCAAGCGCCCACAGCTCAGAACAGCACGTCCAGGCGGCGTATTGGGGGGCGGCGGGTCCTGAACGCCTATAGCAGTGATGGTGAACCTTCTGAGCTCGGCGTGTCAGCATTTTGAAAATCCCTAACTTAACTCTGGTGCCGGGTCACATAGAGAATTTTTTTGATATTTGCAGCCATAGTAAAACAAAGACTTACATTTTTGATATTTATTTTATATATTTAAATGC